AGGCAAGATTACAATCGTTTTTCTAAAGAATTCATTTTCTAAAGCTTTTCAACTCTTGAAAATCTTGATTTTTATCAAATTTTTCAATCCATTCGTATAAAAAGTCGATAGATTAAATAAAATGAAACAAAAGTACGATAGTTTTCTTTTGATAATCTTTATAAATTTAAAAGATTAAATAAAACGTTTTAGTTAAAACAATAACCCTAAGCAAAACGATCTCAACCAGTCGAGTTTTATCAAAAACTTTATCGCCTTCACAAAATCGATTCTCAATTTAATTATTGAAAATAAAATGTTTTCAAAAAAATAAATCAGAATAAATATTTATGCTGTTGTTGCGATGTAAGCCTTGAAAATTGTGAAAATTGAAAATAAGCTTTACTAAATTGTCAACAACCATTTTGCAGAGGAAATCTAGATTTTTTTTCAACCACGTGTGGCTGACTGGTTAAGTGTCTTTTATCTTAATCGGAAGGTCGAGGGTTCGAACCCCACATGCGACATGGTCACCCCCTTCGGATTTCCTTTCCCTTCGGGTTGAGAGGTTTTCTGGAGGGCAGTCTGGTGGTTGTGGCCCCAGTTCTTTAAAGTGACAAGCCACTCCTTCATCGTCATCTTCCCTTCACCACCAAAAAAGCTATTTAGTTCCCCATTGAGCTTAGGGTTAGGGAGCCGTCTGTCATGACGTGGGTTAAGTTAAGATATAGCCTAGTATTGTGTGTGTCGTTGTATTGTGATTGATATATTTCGTGTATGCGATAAATTCACCACTGGTAGCCCCAGTCGGTATTTTTGAATCATTTAAACCGTACTTTATTGCATTTAACATTTATGAAATCAATTTTTAATTTAAAAGTTCGGTTATTTAGTTGAAAACCTAAAAATAAAGCCTACAAATGAGTGCCAATTCCTTGTTTTTTTTTTCCAGTTAATTGACAGGATTCTAATAAAGATAATGAATCAAGTAAAGCCTGGATTTGGGGAGTGATTGCTGGGGTTCTTCTATAGCGCATCTTTTGTTTTTGTATTTGTTGTGGAGAAATTCTATTATTATCTTCATCATATTATCTTAATCTTAAGATTTTCAGAGTCTGGCAAAACTTTTTCATTTAATTGGCAGGATTCTAATAAAGATAATGAATCAAGTAAAGCTTGGATTTGGGGAATGATTGCTGGGATTCTTTTATTGCTCATCTTTTGCTTTTGTATTTGTTTTGGAAAGACATTTTATTATTATCTTCATCATATTATCAAGATTTTCAGAGTCTGGCTAAAATTTTCTAGTTTAGTTATGGTATAAAAGACAACTTGATGATCAAGAGATGTATGCTGTTGTTAAAAATGTTCACTGATTTATTTCTAAAGTTTCCAAGCTTTAGGATCAAATCTTCGCCAGAGTAACACAAAATCGGCATTCAATTTTGTAAATTTGCTATTTCTTAGCGTTTTTCTATCGAATTTACGTCATTTCATGAATGAACAAATATTCTAAAAGTTTTTTTTCGTTTTTTCAGGCGTTCCTAGAGCTAAAGCTTCGTTTGATATTTAGAGAAAAAAAGCCAAATCAATCTGAAAATCGTTGAAAAATTGCCGAAATACCGAAATAAATGAGCTGTGTAAATAGAAGAGGTGATGAATTGGGAAAATTGCAAAAAAAAAAGAGCGATTGGAGTGTTCTTTCTATTCACAGAAATGAATGCTCAATGCTGTGCTAATCTGAAAAGTTTTTCGAGACTCAGAGCTGAATTGTTTCGAATTAAATCAAAAATAGAAATGAAATTTAGTTAATTTGAATCAAAAAAAAGCTTTCATTTGTGCAATTTTCAATGAAAATTTGCTAGTTTTACTGACTATCAGAAGTTCTATTCAACAAATATATTGTTATAAGGGAAGTTAGGCGAATCAACTAGATCAGCTCAGAGTCAATCAGAAGTCTGATGCCTTGTTGATGAGCTTTGTTGATGAGCTTTGTTGATGAGCTTGTTAGCGTCACAGTGTTAATCGCTTTGTTCACAGCTTTGTTGATGAGCTCGTTATCACTTACGTTCATCAGCGTTCATCAGCTTTGTTCATCAGCTTTGTTAATAGCTTTGTTCATCAGCTTTTTGATGAGCTTTTTCACAGCTTTGTTCATCAGCTTTGTTTCGCTTTGTTCTCGCTTTGTTGTGAGCTTTTTCTCTTTTTTTTCAGCTTTGTTCATCAGCTTTGTTGATGAGCTTTGTTCATCAGCTTTGTTCATCAGCTTTGTTAATCAGCTTTGTTCATCAGCTTTGTTCATCAGCTTTGTTCATCAGCTTTGTTCATCAGCTTTGTTAATCAGCTTTATCGATCAGCGTAAATCCAGCTCACGCCCTAATCTGGGTTTTCTTTCAGGGTCAGACCTAGGCAAACCAATTCAAAACTTTACATCACTCTAAGATAAGATTTTCCCCAATTCTCGGCTGCGATCCCTGCAACCAAATGATTTTTGACATTTAGTGATTGAGAATTTGGCTTATTTAAACTCATTTGATTTTTTTTCCAGGTCAAATAACCCTTTTAGAGTGGTGGACACAAATTTTTACGAGTTTTTGACTACTGTGTGAAAAAGTGTCGAAAATGAGAATGGAAAAAGCAGTAAAAATTTTTAGTGTTCCGACAAAACGCAACATTTTTGGAAGAGGGGAGTGCTGAGAAGTTGAACTTCAGAAAATCTGATTAGTCATATGATTTTTTGAAGTTTTCACCTTTACTGACACCCAATTTGGTCATTTCACGACTTTTCTCGAAACAAGCACCATTTTAAGACCGTAAAAGTGCGCTGATCAGGACGCAGCTCTCCTCATGATCAATTTTAGCATAAACACACCCTATTTAGTGCACTAGAATTTCGTGTGCTTTCCAGATTGTCGAGATTTTCAGTAGAAAGTCGGGGTTTGTGGCTTAAACTTCTTAAATCGTAACTGAGTTGAGATTTTCAACTTCTTTTATGTTGTAACTTGAAATTTGTGCACAATGTTGTGACTTCGAACACCTTTCAGCACTCATTTTCTTCACTTTTCCATTTTGAACCTCGAAAAAAGAAAAAACAGAGAAAAGAAAGAAAAAAACTTTCCCGAAAGGCGATCTAATGTCGAGATACCTTTTTTGAACACCCCAACACTCTGGCAGAAAAAAACGTCAAAACCATTCAGAAAAAACGCAAACGGATAGCCTCAAAATGGGCTCAAAATGAGGACAGATTTGTTGAAAAAAAATGACAAAAAAACACTGAGATGACACCGTTTTCAAAGGGTCGATCGGTTATCGGAGATCGGTTTCACCCATGGAAAACCTAACGAATTTGAAAATCGGACTAAATTTTGTCATAAGAGTTCAATCTGGATGGCACACTTGTGAATGAAATACTTTTCAAATAGAATGATGCAGTTTGAGATGAGTTGAAGTTGATGACTGTGGGTTTTTCAGGAGTGCTTTGTGCTCATTGAAACACAGGTTGACTGACGGTGAAATTTGAGGCTGACCATGTTCTTAGCATTTACATCTGTTCAAACCTAGAAGTTGAACATCATCTGCTGCACTAGAGTCTCCATTTATCTACGGCAACACTTTCAAAAAAAGCTGATCGACAAAGCTGATCGACAAAGCTGATCGACAAAACGACAATCGTTTAAATGCCGATCCTTCGAGTAAGTTAAGACATAAATCCTCATTTCCTCAAGAAAAGAAAGTTCAAAAGAAATCTGAAAAGTTTTTTTTTGCAACAGTTTTTCCAGTGTTCGGTTGAGAAGATATATGAGAAGTTGTAGGAAAATTTCTTCGAAAATATAGTACTTTCTCCATAAAATTCGGCTCTGTGACATCCAGCTTGAAGGATTTCCAGGGAATTATGGTTTTGTTCAATTTCTTTTGCGGTAATTCAATCATCAGTAAGTTTTAAAATCGTTCAAATGCCGAAAACCTTCGAGTAAGTTGAGACATAAATCTTCATTTCCTCAAGAAAAGAAAGTTGAAAACTTTACTGTCACAAAACGAGAAATACTTTTGTCTTTTATTTGCCTGTTTGCGGGGATTTTCTTTTAAAGTAATCGGATCCTTAGGGATCTATGAAAAGAGAAAAGAGAGAAGAGAAAAGAACCCAAGAATCCGAACACTTCAACCGATATTCTTTTACCTTTCAAAAGAAATCTGAAAACTTTTTTTGCAACATTTTTTCCAGTGTTCGGCTGAGAAGATACATGAGAAGTTGTAGGAAAATTTCTTGGAAAATATAGTACTTTTTCCATAAAGTTCGGCTCTGTGACATCCAGCTTGAAGGATTTTCAGAGAATTATGGTTTTGTTGAATTTGTAGGAAAATTTGAGAAGTTGTAGGAAAACTTCTCCTCAAATAGTACTTTTTCGATAAAGTTCGGCTCTGTGACATCCAGTTTGAAGGATTTTCAGAGAATTATAATTTCAGAGAATTTTGTTCAATTTCTTTTGCGATAATTCAATCAACAGTAAGTTTAAAATCGAATTTAGTGACAAATTAGTGAGCTTAGTGAGCTATAAGCTTTTTGTAGTATGCTAGATAAGTTGTTTTTAGTTTTGAAAGCTTAAAATAGCTGGGTTAAACGAGTTTGAATCTCTTAAACAAATACTATTTCAATAGCTAAACGATACTGATTAGTAAACGAGTCAAAACGATTCATCAGATTGATCAAATTGTTTGATTTTGATTTTAAATCACAAAAATGATATGTTAAATATGAAAACTTACTAAAAAACATCAGAAAACACCTTTTTTTTCAGAAAAGTAAAGCATTTTTTATGTGTTGAGAAGAATTTTTTTTGACTTTTTGACTCTCGAAGCTCCGCCCTTCTCGCTTTTCTTCTTTCAATGATCGCTTTTCTTCTTTCAATGAAACAGCCGTTCCCCTTTCCCTCAAAAACTGTACCTCTTCTCCATACTGTACTTTCATAAAAGCTATTCAGTTAACTTCAAAATTGTATTTCTTATTCATTTCAACTTTCCAAATGAGTCGAGAAAAGCCAGGCACTGATTGCAAGCGTTTCCTCGGCGTGCACAAACGGATACCAAAAGGTAAGACTTTGATTTTATAAACTTTCATGATCTTTCACAAGATTTCTTATTGTTAATGATTTTAATTGTTCTAATCTAGATTCTATTTCTAATCTAGATTCTAGTTTTAATCTAGATTCTAGTTCTAATTTAGTTTCTATTTCTAATCTAGTTCTAGTTCTAATCTAGATTCTAGTTCTAGTCTAGATTCTAGTTCTAGTTCTGATCTAGATTCTATTTCTAATCTAGATTCTAGTTCTAATCTAGAATTTTAATCTAGACGTCCGTCGTCATTGTGGAATATGTCGTCAACATGGAAGCATTGTCGAAACTCGGGGTCACGTTTGCCCGCTTCGGGATTGTACATGTGAAAAGGTGAGTGGGGAACTTGAAAGTACTTTTTTAAAAGCACTTTTTAGTACTAGCTGTACTTTTTGTACTTGTAAGCTTTCTCAAAAACAAATCCTAAATTCATATGATGTAAAAGTAGGTAAACCAAGCCGAAACATCGATTTTACAGAATTTTATAGCTTTTTCGGTATTTGTAACCGATAGATCTACCTTTTTTGATCAAAAAGCAAGCATTCTTTGCATTTGATTTATTCAATTTCCCCCTATTCATTTAGTGTTCTCTGATTCGAGAACGTCGCCTAATCATGTCAACTCAAATCCGTCTCCGTCGCCAACAGGATCGATGCTTTCAACGAACCGAAGACGCTCAGTCGGCCGATTTGATTCTCGATACACAAACGATCAAAACCGTAAAGATTTACTGTCTGTCATACAATGAATAATTTCGAGTTTTATTACCAGACTATATCTGGGTCTATTGTTGATAGCTACAGTAGGTTCAGAAGATCATCAAACTTATCCAATCTACCCAGCTATATTGGATAGATTCTATTCTGTAAAAATGCAAATTGGGTAGATAATTTCATCCTATCAATAAGTATGACATCCAATTTGATTATCAATGAATTAGTGACTTGCGAATGTCCTACTATTACCAGAACAACGGCTTCATGGCTTTTGAGTCATGTAAAACTAGTCAAGAGCTAGAGAAGAAGTCAAGGCAAAGCTTCTGACCTAACTGCTGCAGGAAAACTTTAGTACTAAAGTTGTGTTGCTTTTAAAAGTAAGAAGAAATTTGATCATCAAACTTATCCAATTTACTCAGCTATATTGGATAGAATCTATTCTGTAAAAATGCAATAGGGTAGATAATTTCATCCTATCAATACAGGGTGCGTCATAATTATTGCAACAAGAGTTCAAAGACCGTTTTCCAAACAGCTTTCTTATTTTTTTTTGCCCCCTTTTTTGTTGTGTTGCGTTCTATCTTCTTTATTCTTGCCTACTTGCCTCCCGCTCACACGAAGAAGACGGTTCAGGACTGGTGTGTGGCCAACTTTCCCTCAGTGATCACCAAGGATGAATGGCCTCCAAACTCACCGGATCTCAATGTGATGGACTTTTCCATTTGGGCAATCTTAGAGGCTAATGTCTGCTCTTTGACCTTGAAGAAGTCTTTGACCAAAGGATGGAAGGCGACTCCTCAAGATGACATTCGGGCCGCAGTGGAGGCATATCCGAACCGATTAAGGGCTGTTATCAAGGCAAAAGGCGGTCATATCGAATGATCTCTTGTTTCCTTATTTGTTACTGTTAAATAAAGCTGTTTCTGTTTAAAAATCTTCTTCCAGTGAAACTTCTTGGTGTGCAATGCCTTGAGTATCTTGTTGCAATAATTATGACGCACCCTGTAAGTATGACATCCAATTTGGTTATTGCCAAAACTATTCAGAAATCTCAATTTTCAGATGAACACTTGTTACGTCTGTCAGAAGTGTAAAAACCATGGGATTCTGAAATGGAAAAAGGCAAGAGCTTTTATTTTATCGAATTTTTAAACCCATTTTTAAACCCATCCTTAGGATCACAAGAAACGTTGCGTTTATTCGGATTGCCCTTGTTCACAATGTCAATTAATTGATACAAGACGAGCTTTAGATCGAACGATTAAGGGTTTGTAAAAGGTTCATTCAATAATTCAATTCTTTTTCTTCTTAATTTAGGTGAAAAAAAGGCCGATCGATCAATTGAAAATGTCTCTTTGAAAGGATTAAAAAGTGAGTGAAATCTTGAAAATTCTAAAAATTCTAAAAATTCTAAAAATTCTTAAAATTCAAATTTCAGTTGACGAGAATAAAAACATCGAGTCAACTTCAGCAAATCTTTTAACGATTCCTGATGTTGGTGAGCTGTGCAAGGTGAGTGAAAGGATTAGAAGTCATTAGAAGTCTGTCATCCAATGAATAATGCCGAGTTTTATTATCAGGCTATATCTGGGTCTTTTGTTGATAGCTACAGTAGATTCAGAAGAAAGTTGATCATCAAATTTATCCGATCTACCCAGCTATTGCATAAGAAATGCGGATTTCAACATTTTCATAAATTGCAGCGGTGGCCAAGTGGTAGAATCAAATAATTGAACAATATATTGAACACGATTCGATTCCAACATTTTCTTGCTCTGTCATCCGGGGATTTTAGATCGAAAAAAAGTGTAATAGTCTTGAAAACCTCACTGCTGTTCAAGGAAAGGTCACGAGGGTGATGTGGAGGTGAATACAGTCAACAATGTCAACAATGAGACCTAGACCATCGGATACAGAATTTTTCGCTCATTTCGATGCTGTCTTTGGTTTGACGCGGGATCGCGAGGCATCTGACAAAAACGGCACAGACCCTAGCACATATTCTTAAGGGCTTACGTAAGGTAAGAAGTAACTGCGGTGGTGGCCGAGTGGTAGAGTGCGAGTCTTTTGCTCGTCTTTCGAATCCTCTTACTTTTCGTTCTTTTGTTTTTTTTTGGAAAACCTATTTTATTAGGTACATGCATAAGGAATGCAGATTTCAACATTTTCATCAATTTCCAACGATAGAAACCTGATGTTATAAACTAGAATCGATGAATGTTATAAACTATTTGAAAGTTGTAAATCTCCTCTACAAAATAGGCTAAAACGTGTTTGAATTGATCTTTGATTTGATTGAAGAAATTTCGAGGGGCGAAATGCGAGTGACCAAAAAAGGAAACGAGTCACTTTAGGGACAAGTTCAGTGTGGTCAAAATAGAGTTACCTTCTCAAAATTGAAGATTTAAGAAAAAAGGATAACTATATATGAATTGATTTTAAAAAAGTCTAACAGAAATGCATCTACAAAAATTTAGATAGAGCGTAAGTTCAAAACCCTCAAAATTGTCAAAAAAAAAACCGGCTTTTTCACGAAAAAAAGAAAAATTATTGTAAAAACAAAGTTTTCCCATGAAATGATTCCAACTCTTAATTAATTTTGAATCATATTTTCCACTATATATTCAAAACCGAACTCTTGTGAGAGTGGGGTTTTAAAAAAGTGCTCTTTTTTGGCCACTCGCATTTCTTCAATGATTCGATCAATTGAAACACGTTTTAGCCGATTTTGTAGAGGAGATTTACAACTATATAGTTATCCTTTTTTCTTAAATCTTCAATTTTGAGAAGGTAACTCTATTTTGACCACACTGAACTTGTCCCTAAAGTGACTCGTTTCCTTTTTTGGTCACTCGCATTTCGCCCCTCGAAATTTCTTCAATGCTTCGATTAATTGAAAAGAGTTTTAGTCTATTTTGTAAAGGAGATTTACAACTTTTAAATAGTTTCTGACATTCGTCGATTCTAGTTTATAACATCAGGTTTCTATCGTTGAAAACTTATGAAAATGTTGAAATCCGCATTTCTTATCGCATTTACCTAATAGTTATCCTAGTTGCTTGACTTAAGATCATTGATCTGAAAAGCTAGTTGTTATCCAAAGCTAATTATCCTGAAAAGCTAGTTGTTACCCAAAGCTAATTATCCTGAAAAGCTAGTTTTTCTAGTTGTTTGACTTAAGATCAGCATTTGTTTTTATCCCAAGTTTGCCCTCACTTCGTTTGTGGTCCAACTTTGACTTTTCTGATGGTGAAACCGGAGATGTTTTTTTGTTTCACTGGGTTTTGCAGTGGAAGCAGAAGCACACGGCTTCAATGTGTCCGGATTTCCATCTTCGGTTTCTAAAGTCGATTTTCAGCGGGTATCGGATAGTTCGCCTTCGAAATTTCTTCAATGGTTCGATCAATTGAAACACGTTTTAGCCTATTTTATAGAGGAGATTTACAACTTTCAAATAGTTTATAACATTCATCGATATTATAACATTCATTCATCAGGTTTCTATCGTTGGAAATAAATAATATATAAGATTCATCGATATCAGGTTTCTATCGTTGAAAATTTATCAAAAATGTTGAAATCCGCATTTCTAATAAAACTAGCTAATCATTTTATTCTTTTCAAGAAGATTAAGGCTAAAGTACTGTCTTACTACAGTACTATGATGTTTTAAAATAACTACAGCAATTAATCATAGATTTAGTCTCTCTATGACTAAAAGTCTATCCAAAAAAAACTCATCGATATCAGGTTTCTATCGTTGGAAATTTATGAAAATGTTGAAATCCGAATTTCTTGGATATTGCATAGATTCTATTCTGTACAAATGCAAATTGGTTAGATAATTTGATCCTATCAATAAGTATGACATCCAATTTGATTATCAACGAATTAATGACTTGCGAATGTCCTACCATTACTAGGACAACGGCTTCATAGCTTTTGAGTCATGAAGCCGTTGCCCTAGTACTAGTCAAGAGCTAGAGAAGAAGTCAAGGCAAAGCTTCTGACCTAACTGCTGCAGGAAAACTTTAGTACTAAAGTTGTGTTGCTTCTAAAAGTAGGATTTCAGAAAATCGCGGATCTCGAAGACACTTCTTACATGAAAGATCTGAACACGAATTACGCAAAAATCCCTTCATTTTTCCAATGCAATCTTCCAATTCATTTCCCAATTTGCTCATATTCTTTCTCTTTTGATTCTCCATCAAATAAAACAAAGCGATTATCCTTCAGCATTGATTCTCTCTTGGGTAATTGAATTAATTAATCATCTATTTCATTTTCATTTCATTTTCACACAGCGGGTTTACAGCTCAAATTTTACTTTGCCAAATGTAATAAATTGTTATTTCGTTCAGTCATACAAAACAAAAGAAAGAAAACATAAGAATGCTAGTTTTAGATTATATAAAGTTGTCAACTTTCTGGTCATTTTATCTTGTTCTCGTGCTTGATACTGTTATAAAAGTAGACCAGTTGGCCGACTGGTTAGGAATCTTCTCTCCTAATCGGAAGATCCAGGGTTCGATCCCGCTGGCGAAATCAAGTGTGTGTTCTTTTTCCCATTAAGTTGGGTTTTTTCTTAACTACACTGTAGGGGTAAAATTTGTGTCCTCCGTTGTGTTGTATCCACTTATTCATGTTGAATAAAGTATCTTTTAATAAAGATTTTGAAGGAAGAAGAGTTTAAAAGGACTGGAGGGGTAAAGTGAGGCCCAGGAGAGCCATACCATAATGAGATGGATTCAAATTTCAAGCCAAACACTGAATAGTTTCCCAATCTTGTTATCAAGTGCATTAAATGTAAAAAATTTTGATTTCATTCAGTCATACAAAACAAAATAACTTGTATAAAGCATAAGAATACTAGTTTTAGATTATATAAAGTTGACAACTTTCAGGCAATTGCCTGAAAATTCTCGAAGACCGAAACTTTGTATTTTTGAAGATTTTGAGAACTTTTCAAGGTGTTTCACGAAAAAAATCTTCAAAAATACAAAGTTTCGGTCTTCGAAACCAAGAATTTAGCTCGATTTTTCGATTGAAATCCCGTTTTTTTGAAGGGTTTTCTCACGAATTCTCTTATAAAAAGGAATCATTTTTTTTTTGACTTAGAAAGAATACGGTTTTAGAAAGAACACGGTATCTAACTAGACTAACGAATTTGAAGATCTTCGTTTGAGCATAAGGATCAAGATCAATTGGAAATCAACTTCACAACAGTTGATACTATTAGGTTGATGCAAAAGTCTTTTTTCACTTTTGAAAAAAAAAAAGTCACAAAAAACCTACGGTTTGCTCAAAATGAAAAGTGTTTATTGTTGAATTTCCCATCTTTTAAAGTAAATTTGGGTCCCCTTTGGGGAAAAGGGGGGGAAAAGGGGTTTTAAAAAAAAATAAAAAAACCTCTAAAAAGAAATTGGCGAATGAATTTCTCTGAAAACCAAAAAAATATTGGAACTTTTTGTGCTCTTTCTTTTATTTATTAAAAAAAAAGATTGGGTTCCCTTAGCCTAAGGGTCTAAAAAGACATTTTAAACCTTTTTAATTTTTTTTATGAAGAAAAAAATAGAAAAATAATAAAATAAAAACGATTTAAATTCTATTTTAACTTTATAAGAAAAAAAATTAACGAAGTGAAAAGACTTTTGCATCAACCTAATAGGTTGATAGAAAATCGATAGAATCGAAATAGAATCAAAATCTACCGAATAGCTGCTTTAAATTTACTAGAGAATTGTAGACAATCTTCGTTCCATTTCAGTAAAATCAAGAAAAGATTTCATATAAATCATTTTCTTTGGAATCATTTTCTTTGGAAACATTTCGATGAATCGTTACTGATTGTAAGATTTTGAAAATCACAAACACGATCAATGATTTCAACAAGGTTTTCCAAGGAAACTAAACCAAAATCCAGACAGAGATTGCCTGATTTCGCGTTAAATTAAAAAATGATTCCTTTTTATAAGAGAATTCGTGAGAAAACTCTTCAAAAAAACGGGATTTCAATTGAAAAATCGAGTTCTTGTTTTCGAAGACCGAAACTTTGTACTTTTGAAGATTTTGTCGTGAAACACCTTGAAAAGTTGTCAAAAACTTTGTATTTTTGAAGATTTTTACAACTTTTCATGGTTTTACAACAAGAGTACAAAGTTTCGGTCTTCAAAAACAAAAACTTTGCTCGATCTCAGTTGGATTTTGAAAATTTGAGAACACTGACAAAGCTAATAAAAGAAAACTATTGTGAAGTTGATTTCCAATTGATTTTGATCCTTATGCTCCAACCAAAAGATCTCCAAAATTCGTTCTCAGCTCTACAAAATGTGGCTTTTAAAGAGTGGCCACAATATGATATTCCCAAAAAAAAATCTGTAAGCTCTTTTTCTTAAATTCATTCACTTTTTGAATGACTCCTTTAACTTTAAATGAATGATTTTTATTTACAACTCAAGAATAAAAGTGTTTCTCATTTGAAAAATGAACTTATAAACCCTTTAACGTCAACATTTAAACCTTTAAAAGCATCATTTTACCATAAAAATTTTCCCACACTTTTTTTTCAATTCTCATCTTACTTTTGATCATTGAAACTTTATGTTAAAAAAATAAATTTGAACATCTCAAAAATTCTGGACTCATCTCTGCAAATATCAAGGTAGAACGCTGAGAAAAGTCTGAAATTCGAGTCTTTATTACGTTTTTGAGAGGAAATTTGCAGTTTTTCTTTTATTTTTGTTCAAAAATCAGCATTTTATTAGACTATTAGACTTTAAACTTTAAATAGACTCATTCAGGTGGAAAAATTTGGTCAACAACGTTGCCGGTTTTTCGTTTCTTTCAAATTAACTAGTAAGCCGTTGATCCTCTTTTTCAGAAAATTCAAGTATTTATTTGATTAAACAAAAGTATTTATTTGATTAAACAAAAGTATTTATTTGATTAAATAAAAGCTTTTAAAAGTTTTCTTCTAAAGAAGAAAGCATTTTCTTTGTTTTATTTTTGTCTTTATACCAAGAATCTGCATTTCTTGGACTCTTGTTTTTATAAAAACAGCTTCTTAGATGATTTAATTTGAGAATAAGACTTTTCTGTGAATTCTGGCAAGCAAAAAGCTTTGTTAAAAAGAATCAAAAAGTTTTGGATGAATAAAAATAAGTGAACAAGAACAAGATATAAAGCAAAAAATTCTGATGATTTGTACCGGAAATTACAAGAATTCTTCTGATGGAATACAATGGATTCGACGACCAAAAAACACATGGGACGCGCAGGCATACAATATTCCAACAGTTAAACACGGGGGAGACTCGGTACTTCTTTGGGGGGATGTTTCTCGGGTTTGGGAGTTGGTCCACTCGTGCGCATAAAAGGCATCATGAATACCGAAAAGTATGTGGATATCTTGGAAAATTATATGTTGCCTTATGCTAAGCAAAATTTGCCTAACGGATGGACTTTTCAACAGGATCGCGACCCCAAACACACAGCCCAACGGACCAAAACTTGGTTCAATCGAAATCGCGTGTCCATTCTTCAATGGTCTGCTCAGAGCCCCGATGCAAATCCTATTGAACTTGAAGTACTTGAAGAAACAATGCCAAGGATATAAAGCAAAAAATTCTGATGATTTGTACCGGAAATTACAAGAAGAGTGGGCAAAAACTGACGCAGGAGTTATCAAAAAGTTTATTGAATCAATGCCTCGACGAGTTGAAGCTATTATTCATGCAAAAGGTCAAAATACAAAATATTAGTTTCTTTTTCGATTTTGTCTCTATTTATACTGTTTTCGTTGAATGAATATCCTTTACTCCTCGAAAATCTTTACAGCATTGGCAAGGGGACTATTACTTTTGAGCGACCTTAAGTTTTCTTTTTTATGTCATCTTCTAGAAAGCATTCAAAATGAGCTGAAACCAGAATATTTATGCATATTTATGAGAAAGCTAGATTTTGTCTTTAAAAATATTACTCTGTGCATTTGTTTTATATGAAAAACCTGAAAAGTTTAAGGGTGTGACCTTTGGTAATGGTAATGGGAATGGTAATGGGAATGGTAATGGGAATGGTAATGGGAATGGAAGGGAAGGGAGGGAATGGTAATGGGAATGGTAATGGGAATGGGAATGGGAATGGTAATGGGAATGGTAATGGGAATGGGATGGGAATGGTAATGGGAATGGTAATGGTAATGGTAATGGGAATGGGAATGGTAATGGGAATGGGAATGGGAATGGTAATGGGAATGGGAATGGGAATGGTAATGGGAATGGGAATGGGAATGGTAATGGGAATGGGAATGGTAATGGGAATGGGAATGGTAATGGGAATGGGAATGGTAATGGTAATGGGAATGGGATGGGAATGGTAATGGGAATGGTAATGGGAATGGTAATGGGAATGGGAATGGGAATGGTAATGGGAATGGTAATGACTCAAAGGACCTTTGAGCCGCACTGTAAGTGAACAAGCTTCTAGTTGATTAAATTTCACATTTAGAACTGTTTCTAGATTGAGTTTCCCAAGAATAAGCCTGATTTTAGCTGCTTAACTCGACTTTTGAGTAACTTATTGAGTATTCAATCAATCACAGTCAAACTTTGAGTCATTAATTGTTAAGTTAATCGAAGTCTGGCAAAAGTCAAGGAAAAGAACTGGATTTTTGCTTTAACGAATAGGCAATGGAAGAAGAAATTGAATTGTAATTGTAGAAGAAATTGTATTTGTTTTTCAAAAAAATTCAAAAATTCATCACCATCGAGCAAAATTCCATTTAAAACTAGCGATTTTCATCTATTTTCTCAAAACTCAATTACATTTCTTTTACCTATTTTCCCCGGAAAACAAAACAATATTTGTCTCAGCATTGGTTAATTAGAATTGGAGAAAATTTGAGAAGAAAATTTCGGATTAAATTCGTCTTTTGTTTTTGGCAAATTTTGCACAAAAAGAAATCAAGAGACACAACAAATTTTTTTTTCGTTTTTTTTCGTTTTTCTTTTAGATTTTCATTAGTTTAAATGAAAATACACTGATTTTTTAAATTAATTTCTTTTTTTGATTTCAAATTTAGCTTTATAACATTTCAATCATTTCCAAAAAGATAAATGCTTCAATTTCCGGGAAAATCCTCTTTTTTTTCATATTTTCCTTATTAAAAAGCTTTTGTTTTAATGATTTTTACAGTATCTTTTAATGCATTTTCTAGAATTTTCCTTTCTCTTTTCATTTATTCGCATGAAAGCAAAGCTTTGGCTTTCAAAAAGAAACAAAAGTCATTGTTAAGGCGACCCGCTGGTTTAAATTTCCATTTTTGACTAATATAAGTACATTTATTCTAGAAAAATAAACAAAACAAGTATTTAAAATAAAGCCGACTGCAATGGATAAACATTTTTGGATAGAAAACTTTTGCTAAAACTAGTTTTATCACATTGAAATTTAAAAAAACCACCTTTTTACACTCAATTTCAGTCTTTTCTTTAGCTAAACTTTGGTATTTAGCTTTCCAAAAATGCTTTATAGCTTTGTAAATGCTGATTTTAAAACATAATTTAAACTTTATTCATTAAATTCCATCAAATTCAATTCAATTTTTATAATTTTGATCGAATTTTGATCATTTTTTGATCACAAATTTCTTTTTGAATGAGATTTTGACTTTGATTGATTGAATACTCAATAAGTTACTCAAAAGTCGAGTTAATCCGCTAAAATCAGGCTTATTCTTGGGAAACTCAATCTAGAAACAGTTCTTTCATTTCCACCCACATTCCACCTCCAAAATTGATTCAAAACCGACTTTGTGCTCAAGGAAAAAACTGAAACCTGTAATTTTTTGAGAACTAGAAAAATGAATTGAGTTCTCTGGCTTTCTTTGAGTACTTTGAGTACTGCCAACTACCGAATAAAATCAGTAGTTGACATTTGATTGAAATTTCGAATTCAAAATACAGTAGGAAATGAAATACGAGAATTTCACCGGTTGAACAAAAGTTAGACAGAGGAAAAACTGAAGTAATCCTTTGTAGATTCTCATCTTTGTAGATTAGTTTCGCGCTTTTTCAAATTACGCTAATTGGATGTTAAATAAAGTTGAAAAATAAGAGTATGGATTTCTCAAAATTTTGAACTTTGAACTTTGTCAAACTTTGAAAGCTTTCAAGCTTTCCAAAAATGCTTTATAGCTTTGTAAATGCTGATTTGAAAGCATAATTTAAACTTTATTCATTAAATTCAATCAAATTCAATTCAATTTTTATCATTTTGATCGAATTTTGATCGAATTTTTGATCACAAATTTCTTTTTGAATGAGATTTTGCGAAAAAATAACATTTTTACTCCATTTTTCATTTATAAATCAAATTCTTATTGCTTGAGAAAGCATAGATAAAATAAAAATCAATTTTATTGTAATCTCTTAGAGATTTGTGCCATTGACTATAAAAATCGAGAAGATTGTAGCCATTTTTTTTTGTTTGGAATCACTCCCAAGTAATGCCTCTAAAAGAAACATTTCTCTTTTAACAAATGCACCAAAACATTTCCGGTTTTCCTCCTCCTCTTTCTTTCCAATACAATTCCAATACTAGACTTCAACAGTGAACCGTAGCCAATTATGATATCACTCCCATTGTGACCCTTGCCCCTTCCTCTATTCAAAATGATCTTGTACAAATAAAGATCTTTCTAGATCCTATTTCAACTCAATCACCCGAATTTAGGGATTATTTTATAGAATTCTGAAATCATTTCCTTTTAGATTGGTAATTAATATTAATTAAGATATTAATTAGCAAAAGTATCAATCTCTTTTACGATTATTGAGTTATTTCTGATAAACAGAGCTAACTCTAGGACACAGAATAGTCAATTAAAGTTGAAATTTCATAGCCTAGTTAGAGGTAGGCTAGCTATGAATCAATTAGATCAATAGTCAAACAAGGATCAGATTAACTCATCCAAATCGATCCAAATCGACAAACTCAATTGCTCAAAATGTAGCCAAAACCAAGAGCCAATACAAGGTAAAAGCAAGGTCAGAGCAAGGCCATTTTTGAAAGAATCCCAGAGTAGTCGTACTTGTTCTGTTCACCCAGACACTTGTTCTTGCCTCCTTACACAATCATGCATATTTGGTGGTACAAAAAGAAGATCATATTTTTAGTGCAATGCCTGATCCCCTTTACCTCATCTTTTGTACCAGAAAACTCGATTTTTAATATTTTTTTGTCTAGAAAACAATGGAAATCTTTGTATACCTAACTTTATTTTCTCCAAATTTTCTCATTTCTTTTCATTCTTTTCATTCTTTTTATTCTTTTTATTCTTTTTATTCTTTTTATTCTTTTTATTCTTTTTATTCTTTTTATTCTTTTCATCGCATTATCCCCCCTTTTGTCTTTGTCTACTCAACCCTCAAATCGATTGTCAAAAATCGTGAATTTTTTAAGTTTATAGAAATCTAAAAATATTTGAAAATGTTTTATAAGTTATTGAGGCAAATAATCGAGCTCAGAAATTGTCAGACAGGTGCGAAATTTTCGTATTCTGACGAAACGGAAGGATGACGCCTTTTTTTTTAAATTTTTAGTCCGCCCCCTATTTTCCAATTGAATAGATAAAAATAATGAGGTGAAAAGTTGTTATTTACTCGTGAAATCAGCGAATTTATACCATTTTTCTCTAAATTTTTTCATTTTTTCATCTTTTCATCTTCATGAGTACGGTATTGTTGTAAATCTATTTATACAATTTTTAACTCCAATTTTTAAGCGATCTGGAGCACATGCTTTGTTTTAATTTGATTTTCAAGTGTAGTGCTTAACTTTAAAATAAAATAACATTCCTTTCAATGTAAAGACAGCAATATCAGCACAAATAGCTGAAAGAAATGGAAAATCCATAGTGCTCTAGAACTCATGATTTACTAGTAGTATAGTAAATCATGAGTTCTTCAGAAAGGATTTCTTTCCATTTTTAACCACAAAAGCATTACAATAAGTGCTCTCTTGTTCTTATTTTCAACTCGTAGACAAATTCCTTTCTTTTTTTTAATCCCCAGCGTATTGAAAAGCAATTACGCAAAATATTAAAGTTAAAAAAGAAAAACATCGTTGTCGACTTTGATCTAAATTTTACATAAAAACTAAAGAAAAGTAAGGAAAAGGTTTAAAGTTAAGTCTAAATGGTAATCTCTATCTATAATAGTACAGTAGTAGTGAAGTACAGTACTGGACAATGAAATATGATATTTGAAAAATGATCGTCACTTTAGCTTTGAAACTTTTAATTTATCTGTAGATGATCTTGGTCTTGAAGATCTAGTGGATTCTTGACGTTATCCGTGCTATCCATATATTACATCTATTACAGTACTGGACAATGAAATATCATATTTGAAAAATCCGTCGTTAGGCGGGTATTTATGAATTGAGTATTCTTTTCATCTTTTAAAATTGAAAAGATCAATTTTCTCTCAGTTACTCAAAAAGTTTTGGTCGTGCCGGGCAATTGAGCTTGAGTCTTGATCCAGAGCCAGGTTTGAGTCTAGATCCAGAACCAGGCTTGAGTCTAGATCCAGAGCCAGGTTTGAGCCTAGATCCAGAACCAGGCTTGAGCCTAGATCCAGAGCCAAGCTTGAGCCTAGATCCAGAACCAGGCTTGAGTCTAGATCCAGAACCAGGCTTGAGTCTAGATCCAGAGCCAAGCTTGAGCCTAAATCTAGATTGCCTAGATTGCCTGGCACGCAGATAATGTTCTAGTTCTAGTTCTAGAAGGAGTTGGATGGCAACTTTTGTCGCAAATCCGATCACTTATCGATAAGATGAATCTTTCATTTAAGACTTTAATTCATTCGAGGATTGATACAGTACTGGACAATGAAATATCATATATTTAAAAAACGATCATCACTTTCGCGCGTCTGTAACTCCATTGTCTTTACCGTATTTCTAAATATTAATATTACCATTGTGTAGCCCTTGAAAGAGTTTCAGAAGGGGTGAATGAGCAGAATGGCCACAACACTCCACATTTGGAATACTTTGATACATACAATTGTCTTATAGATTTGAAGGGCACTAATGGAAGAATATGATAGCGCGTCCTTTTGGCGCATAACCCCGTTGTCTTTACCGTATTTCTAAATATTAATATTACCATTGTGTAGCCCTTGAAAAGAGCTTTCAGGAAATGCATAATACTAATTGTTTAAACTCAAAGACAAGGGAGTTACAGACGCGTGAAAGTGACGATCGTTTTTTAAATATGATATTTCATTGTCCAGTAGTGTACTAAATGGTAATCTCTATCTATAAAATATCCTTTAAACTTGAAATAACTTCTTCTTTTTGTTTAATTTAGCTCAAGTAGGAAATTTGAGATCAAATTTTGAATCTATCATCTAAATTTAGCATTTTGTTAACTCTTTTCTAAAAATGATTCCTATTCCTTTTTGAATTCTTACTTAATTAGCTCGAAATGGGCACATAAATTCACCTCTAAAGTTCAGAATTTATCCATCTGTCTGTTGTATTTCAGTTTTTTCTTTTTTTCCTTTCATTTCCAACCAATTTCCGTTTCGAAATAGTTAAGAGCACAAGAATTTCGAGCAAATTTAGCTCAAGAAGGAAATTTGCGATCGCCCCCGGACTTTGAGATCAAATTCTTATTCTATTTTATTGTATTTTATTCTATTTTATTCTATTTTATTCTATTTTATTCTATTTTTGTTTTTCAAAATTTCAAAATTTCAAAATCATGCAAATTTTTCAATTCTAGATGATCCAAAGACGTTTGTTAACATTTTCACTTTTTTTTTGCTTCATTTCAACGAAGGATTTATCGGAGGGGAATCCATTGAGGCAATATCTCTTCACAAATCGACATGAGGAGTCAGTTTTTTTTGAAAGAAAATCTTTTATTCGTTATTCAAGTGATTCATTTAACTAGAAAATGTTTAAAATCATCAATAAAATGGGAAAATTTCAGTTTTGAGCCACCAAAGCGAGAATACCCACGAACATTGCGGTGTTTATCAATGATTTCCGATGATGAATTAGGTAAAAAACCGATTTTCGAATTCATTCATCGATTTTTTTTTTGTTGTTCAGGTGTCGAAAGAGAGGTGGATTGTACGGTTGATGATGAGGATGAGGAACACGCGCCTGTTTGTGCGCTTTCCCTTCACAAGGGTGGTGTCCGGCAAACATACTGTATGCGGTATCAAGAAGAAGTTCGTTGAATTGGAGAAATATTGATCAGTGCTTTAGAATGAGAAATCGTTTAAAGAACTAGTACTAAAATTGGTTTAGTTTTAAGAAAAAGATCTATTGATTGACTTAGTTAGAGAGAATTCTTTCAGATAAATCAAATCTGAAGTCAACTTTAGGCTAACAGTTAGTCTAAGCTCAGAATTCTTTCAGATAAATCAAATCTGAAGTCATCTTTAGTCTAACGGTTAGTCTAAGCAATTACACAGCTCTAATCCTACTTATTACTCTTTAAATTAAACTAAGCTCAAATATTTTTGATTCAAGCCTTCTTTAAGCTCAAATCAACTCTTTTCTGAATCAGGTTTAGTCTGAACTAACTCTAGGGTCAAGGCTTTAAGTCTAAGATCTAGACTTGGCTACAGTCTAGAATCGTTTATAGACTGATCGTTAGATTATAGATTAGAGCTGAGTAATTGTGATTTTAGACTAACCGTTAGACTAGAGATGACCTTCAGTTTTGACTTTTCTGAAAGAATTCTGAGCTTAGACTAACCGTTAGCCTAAAGTTGACTTCAGTTTTGACTTGTCTGAAAGAATTCTGAGCTTAGACTAACCATTAGACTAGAGATGTCCTTCAATTTTGATTTGAGTTAAAGTCAAAGATATTAGTTAATGATATGACTGTTAAATGCTATTGAAATGAATCAAATTCCAGTTAATGCTATCAAATAAATGCCAAGAATCGGAATGTGTCCTCTCCGCGACTCAATCAACAATCCAATTTTGCTGTTGTTTCTCGGATCGTTGCAATTATCAATATCGCACAGAATAAGCTTTTGTTTGATGTGTAAATAAGCGAATATTTTTGTGTTTGCCTTTTTGTTTCGTTCATTTCAACTTTGGTACAACGCGTTGATCTCTGTTATTTTTATTTAAAAAAAAACTGAACTAAAGAAGAAGAAAAAGCACAAAATGAATAACCAGATACAGTAGAAAACATGTAGAAATGTTTGAAAAACCCGTAAAATAAAAAAAAAACAAAAATTTCTAAAAGTAAAATGACAAGTGAAAAGGCTTTAAATGATAAGAAATTTTGAATAAAAGATTAAATAGATAAAGTTCTAAAGATATTTTAAATCCAAGAATGTTCCAGTAAGCAGGAAGCCTTTCAAAGATAGACTGAAAACAAGATCCAAGTCTTGCTCTTGAACCTATCTTGATCCAGGACAGAAATTCTGCCGGAAAAGCTAGGCTAGATCAAGCTAAGCTAGGCTAGATCAAGCTAAGCTAGGCTAGATCAAGCTAAGACAGGTTCAAGAGCAAGACTTGGATCTGTTTTCAGTCTATCTTTGAAAGAATCCTGTTTTTAGGCTATCACTTAAACACTACTCATACTGTTAACATGTGAGACTTTCGAGAGTAGATGCGTCTCAGCCATTGTCACCTCAGTTCCTGTTCCAGTTGAGCGAAAAGCTCGCGGACGCATACCAGCCTGGAAATGGTGAATTGATTAAACTCTTTCAAACTAAAAACTAAACTGTCTATTTAGAGTAGATCAATATCAACTCTTTTATCTCAATATCCACTTTGAATCTCTACTAAAGAGCAGCTCAATACCTACTCTTTATCTCAATATCTACTCTCAATCTCTACTAAAAAGCAGCTCAATTTCTACTCTTTATCTCAATATCTACTTTCAATATCTACTAAAGAGTAGCTCAATTTCTACTCTTTATCTCAATATCTACTCACAATCTCTACTAAAAAGCAGCTCAATTTCTCAATTTCTATTCTTTAGCCTAGTGTTGTTTAAAAGAATCAAAGTCTCCTTATTCTTATCAATTACTTAATATGATAAACTACCGTAGTAAGCTTTATTTTCAAGTTTAATTTACCTGCAATAGATATGCGTGTTTTTGACTCTTATCTTTCCAATGCAAGATCGCCATCACGTACATCTGAAAAACATTTCATTCAAGTTTTACTAAACGAATTTCCAACAAATCTACCTGCGTCATATGTCGGAATTGCTCGGAGCAGACAAAAAAGACAAAAAACGGGATGGTCGCATTGAGGAGAGAGAGGAAATTGTTCATGTGCGTCAACACACACCACATATGCGGATGTTCACTGCCTGCAAAAGCAAAGGGTTAATCAGAATTTCGTTTTAATATAATATTTTGACGATCTGGATGTCACAGCAGAAATCTAGCGAATTAAATGAGCAAAATTTTGCATTTAAAATTTTCTTGACTTTAATTTCCCTAATTTTTGCTTTCCATCGAAATTTTTGCTAACATCCCCATTCTCAGTAGTCAACTCGATTTATGAACATGAAATTGCCTCTCATTGCCTCTTTCCAACGATTCATCATCAGATCGAATATTTTCAATGCATTATTCATACCGCCCCTCATTTAAACCTTTCACTCGTGCTCAATTCCCCAGAAATTCTATTGAAAGCTTTTCCAATTGATCTAAAAGTTACAGAAAACTGAAAACTAATGACTTTAGAGATCATAGAGACTTTAGAGATCAAATTCCAAAGCTTCCAAAGCTGAAAAGAGCTTGGTTTATCTTCAAAACAATTTTCAATTGGATTACTAATGAAAAGAAGATTATTTGAACTAGTTAATTTGATCATTATGTTGAAATGATCAATGTTTTCAAGTAAAGAGGACAATATCAATCTAAAATCAATCAAAACAAACCATCAATCGCTGCAGCAGCATGTGTCAATGTTGCGGGTCCTTCCAGTAAAAGATGGGACATTGTTGTAGCCACTGTTAAACGAATCACACACTTTCTTCGTTGTGAGAAAGCGTCACCGAGATCCTGAAAGAGTTTGATGATTTGTTAATGCTCTATGCATTTGATTGAAAGTCTGTTGATGTTGATGAACAGCTTTGATACCTTGAAAGTGAACTGTTTAAGTGAACTTGAACTGTTGATTGAAAGTCTGCTTTAGAACTGCTTTGATACCTTGAAAGTGAACTTGAACCGCTTTAGAACTGCTTTAGAACTGCTTTAGAACTGCTTTAGAACTGCTTTAGAACTGCTTTAGAACTACTTTGATACCTTGAAAGTGAACTGTTTAAGTGAACTTGAACTGCTTTAGAATTGCTTTAGAACTGCTTTGATACCTTGAAAGTGAACTGTTTGACGATAATGACTGTACAGACAAGCATCGCAACGGTTGGAATGACAATGACAAGAGCCATCTATAAAAATGGGATTTTATCTCGCATTTTGAGTGTTACTTGAGCAATAACATAGATCTTCCACAATGTTAAATATGATTGACTGCGTAGATCAAGAGAGTAATAGATGTATCCATAATAGCATTCTGATTGACCATCGTAGGAGAGATTTGCAATGGGAACGGACTGAAAAAGAAAAGATTTTGATCGGTTTAGATTTGATACGACAAGATTTCATTTCTAGAGTTCTAAAAGTTCTAAATAGTGCAGTATACATTGTACTTATGCAGTGTACTTTGTACTTATCCTTGTACTTATGCAGCGTACTTTGTACTTATGCAGTGTACTTTGTGCTCGAAAGTGTAAAACACTAAATCTGATGCACTCGATAAGTCAATTGACTTGTAATGATGCTTTCATTATGAAGACACAATTCCAATGTGCTAGAAAGCTGTGTTGCTGAACCAGAAAGCTGTCAAAGTACAGTTAAAGCCAGAAAACCAAATAAACTAACCCAGAACTTAAACTGAAAGCTAAATAACATACTGGATATGTATCTAATGACTCTGAAAACTGTAGATATAAGATTTCCCAGATCTTTTCTTCAAAAACCCATTTAAAACCAGTCATTTTTCACTCTTGCAGCTCTTGATCCAATCCAATTTCACGTTGTTTATCTAGGGGATTCCCCAATTCTTGCAATGATGTGAAATGAGGATTTTTTTTTGACTTTTTCATTTCCTCCATCCACCCCCACTTTTATTTGAATTTCCTTTAATTAATCGACTTGTTTATAAGACGTTTCTATTCTGAGATCGCTAAAAGAATCGTGGTTTGATTTGAGGAATGATGAAAGATTTCGTGATGAGATTTCATCGATTTTTGGAAGCAAGACTAGATTAACATTTCTTCCAGGACTTCCAGGATTAACAAATATTATATGCAAAAGAGCCTGGTCAATCCAATCCTCCTTTATCTTGTAGAAGTATTCTGTGACATCCAGGATTGTCAAATAATAAGTACTAGATTTATCTAGTTAATCCAATCCTCCTTTATCTTGTAGAAGTGTTCTGTGACATCCAGGATTGTGAAAGAATAAGTACTAGATTTATCTAATCAATCCAATCCTCCTTTATCTTGTTCTGTGACATCCAGGATTGACAAATAACAACTCACTGTTCTGATGAAGAGAAAGAGTGAGTGTAGAATCGAAGCAATCGCTGTGGCAATGACCAACACCGTGAAGGTCATTTTCTTTGTGCAATATTGTCGAAAGATGAATGGTACCATCACACAGAGCACTGTTTCCACGGTCACCATCAGGGTTAACCTAGAAAATTCGTTTTTAAAAAGGGTAAATCCGGCATTTTAACCATGTTGACAGTGTTCCGCTGATGTTTGAGATCGTCACAATGTAAGCTCTCGTATTCCAGAATAATGGTTCCCAAAATGGGCTCGCCACCGTACTCCAAGCATGGATTACCTAGAATTTTGACGTTTTTCAACACTTCTACAGTTGAACTTCACCTCAAACAATCGGGAAACGACAAAAATCGAGTTCGCAATTGCTTTAGCTCTCAAGAAATGAACAGAAGATGATCCATCAAAGTATCTAATTTATATAAATACAAGATTTATGTAAAAGAAACATACGATAATCGATAGATCATCAAATTGAGAAGATTTCCGATGATACAGAAGAGAATCAATGGAGGAACCGCGTACTTTTGGGTCACTGAAAAGTGCAGATGGCTCTTTTCACTTGGTTAAACAGTGTTCAACATGGTTTCGAAACTTTTAAGCGTTTGTTTTTAGCTTTAATGTTGGTATCCTCTTAAATCTTCTTCTTAATGGCTTTCTTAGCCAAATTCTGATCATTTGAGTCTTCAAATGCATGACTTTGACTAAGATTTTCTAACCTTGTAAGAGCTGTTAAACAAGTCAAGGCCATGTTGTGCAAGAATCCAGCTGGGAAGGACCTGTCTAGGCCTGTCTAGACCTGTCTAGGACTGTCTAGACCTGTCTAGGCCTGTTTAGGCCTGTCCAGGACCTGTCTAGGCCTGTCCAGGACCTGTCTAGGCCTGTCTAGACCTTCCAGGACCTGTCTAGGACCTAGCCCTGACCTTATCTTTCCTTACCGGGCCTGGAAAAATGGTTTTAAAGGTTTTAAAGGAATCCTGGTTTCCACTCATAGTCTTTTTGCATATCTTTTCTAGTTCAAGATCAAATTTGAACTTCTTCTAATAATTGCTACTTTTTCCCAGCTTCTCTTTGACGTCTCAGCGCAAAAACTGATCCCGATGACTCTTTTCCCTTTTCAAAATTCAGTGATTCAATGAAAAAGAATAAGAAACTAATGAGAGACATGTGAATTTATTCAAAAGAGAGAGACAAAATTAAGTTCTCTTTTTCAATGCTTGAGTCAAGTTTTTTACGGAAAAAAAAGGGGAAAATTATTGGAATCCATTTTTTTCCCTTCACAAAGACCCTTCTTTGAAATGAGAATTTTTGAGATTTCACTCAAATAAAATTTTAAAAATTACCTTCCATAATCAAGGAAGTGAAATGGAAAAGAAAAGAAAAGAAAATGAAAAGAGAATGAAAAGAAAATCGAACTTCTTAGCGGAGCTACCAAAAACAGTCCCATAAGGAAATATTGTTGACTTTATAATGTTTTAATAGAGAGGAAGTTTGGTAGACTTTGTTTTATAGGGGTTTTTTTGGAATGAAATGGTTTTACCAATTGATTTAGATCCATCTAGGATTGAAATAAGAATTGAAATGACCTAAAATCCTTTTATTAAACATATTCTGATGCTGATTTGAATGGGGAAATCGAAAATATTCTTCGGGCAAATTTTGGTCGATCTGATATTTGAGGTTTTTTTGTTTAAATTTAAAACAATTTCTATATTACCGTATTTTCTGTAATAGTAGTGCGCACTACTATCTTTCAACCCCCCTCCAGCCTGCACTACTATTATAGACTGCACCACTATTATAGACTGCACTACTATTACAGACTGCACTACTATTATAGACTGCACTACTATTATAGACTGCACTACTATTATAGACTGCACTACTATTATAGACTGCACTACTATTATAGACTGCACTGCTATAACAGACTGCACTATACTGTATTACAGAAAATACGGTATCTCGGATTCGTAAAACAGTTTAGTAATCCTTTTAGAAGAAGAATAATGGGGAATGGGATTATTATTAACATTATTACCAAATTTTGGTAATAATGGAGAATGGGAAATCGTTTTCAAAATTGTTTTCAATTTAAACAAAAAATAATATAATATTTGCAAGTCTGATATGAGATTGTTTAAAATTGATAGCTTTTTAGCTGTATTTTAGTTCAGACAAAAGGATTTCCTCAATTTCTTTAAGTATTTTACCCTTTGTCTATCAATTCCCATTCCCCATATTACCAAAAATTTCTTCTTCTTTAACTCGAAAAATTTTTCTGTTTTTTAATTTTTGCAGAACATTCATTTTTATGTCCCTAGAGACTAAAAGAAGTTTTTTTTTTGAAAAAAAACTAATTTAAAGTAGTTTGTTAGAGGGGAATTTGTTTTAAAGCATTGAAAAAAGTGAACTAATTGATGATTTTTGATTTGAAAAGCTTTAAAACTGACTGATTTCGACGGAGCCGCAATCCGAGTAGAAATTCGGATTATGGTCAATGCGGGCAACTGAAAAACATTGAATATTATCAAAATTTTCAATTATTTAACTAAATTGCATTCCAGATTTCACAAAAATTTTGTTAAAAATTGAATTTTTCATAGAAATAAGCGATTTTCAAGTGCGAACTCGATCTAACTGAGAAATGATTTTAAAAGTTAAGCTTTTATGATTTCAACTATTTCTATCACAAAGCTGGATGTCAACTTGAGTTTTCAGCAAGTTTCTTACCTGGATGATCACCAGGACAAATTCGGCCCGAGCCATTCGCTAGAAAGTCCATTCGATTGAGAATCGAGCTGTAAATAGAGGAAATAAAGCTGTAAATAGAGAAAATCGTGTCGAACATCTTCAATATCGGTCAGGTTTTGTAAATTTTATAGAAATCTTTTAAATCTTAATGAAATGTGGTGAAATTATCGGGGAAACGTGTCGCAAAATGTCATTTGGGGAAGAGAGGAGAAAAAGATTCGAGAATAATGGAATTTCCGGAAATCAGAGCTCAACATTGAGATGATTTCCGAATAAAATTTGTAAAAAGATGCGTAATTGAATTTCAACAATTTCTATCACAAAGCTGGATGTCAACTTGAGTTTTCAGCAAAAAAATTTTTACCTGGATGATTACCAGGACAAATTTCTGGAAATCAGAGCTCAAATTAAGATGATTTCCAAATAAAATTTGTAAATAGATGCGTAATTGAATCAACAAGATTCTACTTAAAAATTAGCCGAAATTTCTTACAGAATATCGAAGTGATTTTGGGAATTGTTGAAGAAGAATTGTCACTTTTATTTAGATCGATTTCAAATTTGTTACTAAACTTTTTGAGATGTTTGTTGTTTTTTTTAAAAAGTCGAACATTGGCGTCTAAGAATTGAGGCTAATTTGGAAAGAGATCAAAGAATTCTTTTGAGACATTCTTGACAATCATCATTGAAACAAAGCTAGAGAGATTTGAAATTTGAAACAAGAATGCGCGAATTTCATTTCAACATTCAGATAATTTATAGTTTAATAGTACGAGATTCATCCGCAAAAAAGAAATTGTTAAGTTTTAAAGAAAACTTGAACGATTGAGCGTTTAAAAACCTAATAAAAATCATCAATCGGGTGTTTGCTTCAAGAAAATCTTGTAAAATGAAAGTTTTTTTTACAAAAAATAGCTTCAAACTGGAGCTAAAAGAGTTAGAATTTTTGTAATTAATGATTTTTAAGCGTTTTTCTTTGTAAATTCTGTCAATTTTGTCAATTTTGCTTAAAACTTTGTAAATTTTGTGTTAAATGAATAAAACAAACTTGAGACAATTCTCGGTTTGAATTTCCTTGAAGAAAAGCTGATGACAGAGACGGATCATTGTGTGCGGGTTGTGAGGGCGGGGTTTCGATGAAGAATTTGAGGAGAATGTCGAGGAGAATCCAGAGAATCGAGAAGAGAACGCATCCTCGTCGGACATCATTCAAGAAGTCAAGAAGTCAAGGAGAAAGAGGAGAAAGAGATTCGGCTGAAGGATTTGCATATTAGACGATGAGAATATAATGAATATTTGATTTGGGATTGAAAAGAAAAGGAAAATAATGACCTCAACATTCAAAGTTGAAGGGGGAAATGAGGAGAAAGTGAAGAAGTGAAAAGCAAAGAATTTAAAGCTAAATCAAAGTCTAAAATCAAAAAAAATCAAAGCTTTAAAGCTAAAATGAGTTCCAGAATGTTCAAAAAGATAAAAATTATATAGATTAGGTAAAGAAAAGTTGAAAAATCGACCTACATCGAGTTTTAGTGATTCAATTTTGTAATTCAGTAATTCGAGTGATTCAATTTCTAATTTGTGTCCCAGAAACCGCAAAAACTTTAAAAAATATCTCGTTAAACGAAATCTCTAACTAGATGAGGGGATGAACTATAAAATTAAAGCATTTAAAGCAGCAAACTGCGATCTATGACCGCTAAAAATTGGAAAGTTTATTCTAAAATCAAAATTATATCATATCAGAAGATAAAAATGTGTTGATTGAGGTCTACTCGGAATGTCTCGTATCCTTTGAATTCTCTTTTCAACTTCTCCCGAGATTTCTTCAAATAATTGCTTTCAAAGAGTCCCACGAGGGTTCGAAAAGGAGAGCTTGCAACAAAGAATTGAAAAAAAAGGGGAAGAGTTGCAAGGAATGAAATGTGAAATGATGAGATTTTCATTTGAAAGAAGAAAAGCTAAAAGAAAATTGAGGAAAAAGGATTGACGTGGGAATTCTTGGAAGAGTGGGATGGAGATCGAGTGGTTGATGGACAAGGAGTGGAGGTGATTTGTGATGAGTTGTGGGGAAATTGGAAAAGGATTGGGTTCGGGTTTTGAGTCTAATTGAATTGATTGCTTGACTTTTGATCAAAAGAAGTACCCAGAAAACCTGAGATTTCCAACTTCAACCTTAATCTAATAGCAAATATGGTGTCATTCTTAGCTAAATTCTAAAGTCAGTGTGTTTTAAAACCTAAAAGCCTTGTAGCCTTGTAGTCGTGTTTCTAGTTTTAAGTCAATTTATCTATTTTTAAATGTTCGAATGATGTAGATCAAGATTATGATAGGTTTTAAAGCACACTGACTTTAGAATTAGCTAAGAATGAGACTATATTTGCTATTAGATTAAGGTTGAAGTTGAAGTTGAAGTTTGAAATCTCAGGTTTTCTAGGGTTTTACTTTCTGAAATGGTTTGTTTTGAAGAATTCAAAGCGTAGACTAAACTTAGTCGTCAAAAGTTTCGACTTTTCTTTTCAATCAGTCACGCGGTGTGAGAGTTGCCTATTTTGTGGATGTTAAAATGAAATTGAATGGCCAAACACCAGCATTTCTCCCAGAAAAGTGATCATTTTTTTTTTTGAAGAAAAACTTGAAAGAGCCAATATCTTTTCAAACGGACAAAGATTCTTTCGAAAGCTTTTTCTTTTTTCTCGTTCGACGTCAACTTCTCCATAATGAGATTCAATTGGTCGTGAAAAAAAGAAGAAAAAGAGAAAGAAAGTGTTGAAGAAAAGCTGAAGATAAAGGAGATAGAAGAGATAAAAGATGGAGAGATTCGATAAGGAAGAGTTTAGTTCACAATAACAAAGATGCGGAGGGGAGAATGGGGGAGGATAGAGGATATCGAATTGATGGGGAACACTTTTCAATGCTTGTAGATTAGAAAGTTGACAAGGTTTTGCAATAATATCTGTTAGTTTCTGAAAGGGGTTTATGTTGGAGACTGTAAGTAAACTGTAGATGAGTAAATAAAGATCTCGAGCTATTGCAAATCAAAGCGAAAATCATTTTTTCTTTTTACTTAGATTTCTAGGGATTTTTGCTCAAGAAACGAGGCTTAATAAGGAATTTTCTTAAAGAAATAGAGCTTATTATTAGTTATAAAGTATAAAGAACGATTATTAACGGTTAAAAAACAAAAAGATAACGAAAAAGCTTTCTAAATCCTTTAAAAATAAGAATGAACAAGAAAAATTATAAAGAAATGATAGAATATGTAAATTTTTAAATGTTTTTTTTTTGGTATTTAAAGAGATTATAGGTAAAGTTACCGTATTTCTTTGAATAGAAGACCGGGTAAAGAGTCTCATCGCGTACTTCTGCGTAGCAGCCCTCAATGAAGTGCTATAGAGCTTTCAATGAAGTGCTATAGAGCTGGAAAATGGCTCAAAAATCTGTTAGCTCAAAAATGTGGTATTTTTGAGTCATTTTTCAGCTCTATAGCACTTCATTGAAAGCTTTTATGCAGAAAAAAGGGCTGCTACGCAGCAGTACGCGATCATACTCTTTACCCGGTCTTCTATTCGAAGAAATACGGTACGTAATGATTATGAGAAAGCGTTCATGTTGTTGTTGGATGTAATTCGTCGAAGAGTCAAAGAATTGTATTAAAAGAACGGCTCAAATGGGATATATAATACATTTGTCCATTTCTCCCGGTCTTCTATTCGAAGAAATACGGTAATCAAAAGTTATCCAAAAAAAAGTGATTAAATTTTGTCAAAACAAAATGATACATTGAAAAAGAAGCATTTTCTTATTAGAGAAACCATTTTTTGATATTTTTGGCAACAAAAATGATCAAGATTAAAAGAGATTTTCGATTTTTTTGAAGCAAAAAAAACGTGAAAATCTTTGAAAAGGTCAAATTTTTGTGGGATTAAATTTAGAAATATGCACGTAAAGAGTCCAGTGAACTTTACAATGGGAAAGACAAGTGCAAAAATAGAATTTGACCCGGAAAAAAATAACAAAAATAATGACTGAGAAAATGTTTTCGCTTTGATGGGTAATGAGTAAAAAAAAGGGGAATTTTGAAGAAAATCGAAAAAAGCACGTAAAAACAAAAGGTTGAATTTTCAAATAGGAAATATAGAAATTTAATATATATATATGCTTTATTCATGGGCGAATAGAAGCGAATTAGATAATCATAACTGCATATAACATAGAAATGCATTTCATAAAGAATTTCCTCTCTAAAAAGTCGATTTATTGGGTTGTCCAGTTATGAATGCGCGTTTTTACTATTTTGTAAATTTCTCAAGATATCGAACTGATGTATATGAGTGTTATATACCATTCGAAAGCTGAAGATCTCCTCTACATTTTGATATAAAAAGCTTTGGAATTTGTTCAGCTTTTTGGGGAATTGACTGCACAAAGGGAGAGGTCGTTTCCGAAAAAAAACCATTCCAGCTTAGCTATTCCTCAAGTTTTATGGTGTAAAATAACCGCCCAGGAAAGAAAAGATGCTCTGAAATTGTTGTATTTTAAAAAAAGTTGTATTGATATATCTATTGGCCAAACATCAAACGGTTAACTCAATTTGAGCGGAGCCAAAACTTGATCCAAAGGCACCCTTCCATTTTTTGGCCACCTCTTCTTCTGTGCAGTCAATTTGCCCAAAAGCTGAACAAATTCAAAAACGTTTTTATATCAAAATGTAGAGGAGATCTTCAGCTTTCGAATAATACTCATATATATCTTTTTCTTGATTTCGGTATCTTGAGAAATTTACAAAATAGTAAAAGACGCGCATTCATAACTGGACAACCGAATAATAAAAACTTTCTCTTTTTTTACAAATCTAACTTTAGAGAAATTATAATCCCAAAAAATAGCTTTTTTTTTGAGAAATTCTATTCTTTTGTCGAAATTGAATGAATTTTTGAAGAGAAAAGAGTTTTATTACGTTAATATTTGTTGGAAAACGTTTGAATTTTTCAAATTTACACACTTCAGATTCGAATTACATTCGAGTTTGACTTTTTGAAGGCTATTTGGTGGAGATCAGATTGGATTAGGGGTTAATATGCGAATTTATCAAGTACATCTTCAGCCTTCAGCCTTTCAGGGTCAGCCATCAACTTCTATCACTCTAGCACATAGAAATTTGCAACTTACAAACTTTTCCGAGCTATTAGTTGGTCAGATAAAAAAACAGTAAAATGAAAGATAGAGATTTATTCTTTGGAAACATTACACTGCCCTGCCTGTCCTGCCTGTCCTGCCTGCCCTGCCTGTCCTGCCTGTCCTGCCTGTCCTGCCTGCCCTGCCTGTCCTCTTTCTGTTTACTCCATGTCATCATGAATAGAAGAAACAGTGAACTGGTTTTTATTAAGTTCATATTAAGTTTATCATAACTTAATAAAGCTCTTTTCTCTTCAAAAATTCATTCAATTTGTTGGAAAACGTTTGAATTTTTCAAATTTACACACTTCAGAATGGAATTACATTCGAGTTTGACTTTTTGAAGGCCATTTGGTGGAGATGAGATTGGATTTGGGGTTAATATGGGGAGTGGGACAAAAGCTACCTTTTTTTTTGCCGACCCGGACATTTGCGCACCTTGCCCATTAGCGCACCTTTTTTCGCGTTTTAAAGCTAATATTAAGCTCTAAAAGCTCTAAAAAGCTAATATTAACCAATTTCTATTGCAAAAGTTCTTTTTCTAGGTAATTTTAGGCCTCTAAGAATCTTTAGAGTTTCGACATGTCATTGCAACTGTTTATATCTCGACTTCCAGCAATCGGATTGACTTGTGGTTGATTTTAAAAGAATCCTCATCAAATTTGGCTATAGAAAAGTGCAATTCGTTTTGTACACTCACCCAATGAAACTCTTTTAAAATTGAGAAGGAAAAGATGTGAATTGTTTTAATGATCTTATAAAGAAATCGTAGATGAATCAAAAATCGTTAAACTTATAGAAAAATGAATTTTATGCAATAAATAGAAGAAATTTACTATAATGACGTTTATTGGATATTATGTAGATGAGTGGATTCATTAAAAAAAGAAGAGAAAAGAGATGGATTATGCAAGCATTTTGAGAAATTAGAA